CATAATACACAGAATATCTGAAGGTAGTTAATATCTGAGATGTAAAGAAATAAGCAAAGAAATGGTAGATCTTAATCATAATAACAGTAAATTAAAACGAGTATAAAGAAGAAGTGATAGAAGAGATTGGCTAAATACTACCTCTTAAAATACACCAAAAGATTATAATGACTTATCAGACATACTAAACATGATTAATACTGGAGGCAATAATTATAATAATGAAGAATAAAAGATACATTAGAGAGTCATTATATGAAGCAACAATAGAATTATTCATTCAATAAGCGAAGTTGATCTAAGCATAAATGGAAGGCTTTCATCATGTATCTGAAAGATAAAAAAATAATAACAAGATAACATTAGCAATAATAAAAATAAATTTATTATGGGATTTTTTTATATACCTAATCGATCAGTTCGATTAAATTGTAAACTGTAATGGTAGTCTGAATTCACTTGGTATTGTTCACTTGAATCTTCCTATTGATGTTTAGGACTACGATTGATCAGTCTCTTATCGAAGCGAACGGTATTAGGTCCAAGTCCCAGAGTGAACATCAACTGTGAGATGCAGGTATATCCAGCTGACGAGTCCCGAAATCGGACGAAACGCGTTTCCTGGATTCCACTGCTAGTCGCTATCCATCTTTGCTAATAATGTTAACGCAGTCGTTATTTTTTCCAAGGAAATAGTCCATAAAAAAATCAGTGGAAATAATGTGTAAGACGATCAATTAAATGGAAAAGAGCAAGTTTAAAAGAAATCTAATAGTAATCTGTTATAATTCTCTGTTACTATACCCCAGCTAATCCTATTGTTTAGTAATCTTGGATACCAATTCACTCAACAAGTCCCCAAACCAGAACACAGTTGAACAAGCACGAAATTATATCCCAAAGTACTAGAGTAGATGGAAGTAGTGTTTTCATAGATTCCAGTTTCTAGAGTCTCCTCCAAGTATCGACTAGCGCTGATTGGATAAGAAATACTCAATCGGCGTGCACCAACACAATCCTGCACAGAACATGCTAATCTAATGTATGTTCCCGATAACACAATCAAACATTCCGGAAATGTGGTAGTCATCGAGTGAACGGTAATGTCGAAACGGATGGATAGAGCTAAGGGTAAACATGAGGAGATGACGGAGCTGTAAATATGCATCGATAAAGGTGCCTTAGAGAATGATTTCAACAGATTATGTTTGGTGAAGTTATCTATGTCGATTTGAAATAGGAGACTGTGTTGATAACGATTAGCCAAAACAGATAAATGTTCGTCATACAGCAGCAAGTTTGAACGCATAAGTAATTGATTTCCAAACTATATTATAGTATGTAGTGAATCATATGCATCACACAAAGGTTGTAAATACATCAAAGAGATATTTGTTAAGCATTAAGCCAAAGCAAAGTGATGAACTATGGGGAGACGTGCACTTCAGAACCGAGTCGATAATTTTCATGATCATACTGGGTATTTTGACAACTATGAACTTCACTAGTAAATAAGGCATAATTCTCTAATTGATGCATATTAAGGATTAGAGCATATACGGTAAAAACTTAAAATGATTTAAGAGATACATTGAGCAGCTTCATGTAGAATGACCATTTTGTAATCAACAAAACATTATGAGAATTATGCCTATAAACTCTATCAAATTAAATTTGATTTATATCAGAAACGGTTTTTGTGGATATTATAGTAAATTCAATAGTCGAGATCATGAGTCAATTGAAGCTAGATCACGATGAAAAGCCTGGAAGCACTGGACGACAATTTCGTCCTATTGTGGAACAACCACAGCGCGAGAACACTTAACCTCTAAACCACTGAGCCGATAAACCCTGGCTTCGAATCCCACGAGAAAGGACCATGGATAAGCACTGCTGAAAAGTCTCACAATAGAACGAAACGGTCGTCCAGTGCTTACAGGTTTTCCATAGTGATCTCGCTTCAACTGACTCATGATCTCAACTATTAAATTTGATTTGATGAAATCTTTATAAGTAATAAATAAAACAGTTATAGAAACAGAAATAACGATTAAGTGAAATACAAGAGATCAAACTAGATTGTTTTCAAAAGAAAACAGTGATAACAGAAGAAGAAGAAGAACATGAAACTCTTCTATGAGTCTATCACTTCTACATGTAATCAACTTTGTTACACATATTGTTCTTAAGATGAGACCAATCAAGAACCAGAACCAGCATACATATATTGTCATAAATAGTAACAACTTCTTGTTCTTCTAACAAACACATTTCTTCTAATTTGTTATTAATTGGTGGTATTATCAATTGTCGTGCTTCTCGTTGTACTTGTTACATCACATGAATTCGTTGTCATAGTTGTACATTTATTCTTTTTTATTTTAAATAACAGTTAAATTAACATTTTACTTACATTACATTATGTATAGTGTATCTAACACATCATATGGTTTATTTAGTAACAAAAAAAAAAACTAATCGGTAATCTATAGTTGTTAGTTTTCATTCGAGAATTGATTGAAATGAGGTGGTGAGGTTTTGTCCACTTCTATTCATCGATTTTTCTTGACCTTAATCACTTTACCTAGTCTACAACAACAACAACTACTACTACTATGTTTGTGTAACAGTTGGAGAGACTAGGAAAAAAGTTCTTAATTGTATTGATTATCTCGGTCTTAACCAAATATAAAAATGTTCACAGAAACCGGTGTGTGTGCATAATTATTCATTTAACTATTTGCTTATATGACTGTATAGGTAGTCATATCTGTTCAACTGTTTTGTTTTAAGGAAATACTGTATAGACAAACACATACACAAGGTGGATTTTCAACTTCAGTATGACAAGAAAAAATTCGTTGCAGGATAATTTTATTAAAAGATAGTTTAATTGAGATGTACGAGTAGGAAATATGACTAACTCAACTATATGAACATCAGACAGACAAAAATCACCAACATACAATCCTCCACAGATGTGTTGGCTCAAATTGTAATACTACATTAGCACGACGAAATGAAAGTAAAAAAACGAGATTGAAATAATATAGTAGCAGCGAGAAATAAAAACTAAACCTTAGGAATATGGTTTGAAAAAACAAAGTGGAAAGGTATGTGTGGAAGGATACTGGAATTCAAGATTGAGAGGAAGACAAAGAATGAATGTTCCTACCGCATTGTGAACGGTTCCATGCTGCCATGTCGTCCCCAATCACTGGTAACTGTTATCACGTGAACCGTAACAGGTAGTGAGTACAAACTTATATGGTTCGGATCAAAACTCAGTGACTTTATGGACGGATGCGACGTTTTGGTCTGTCCTCTCTTAGCTTTCTTCCAACTTAATCCTGCACTATCAAGCATCGGTTGTTGATGTAGGGACAATAGTTAGGCATACATAACATATGTCCTAACTACTTCAGTCGATGAAGATTAGCGACCTCATTACCCCAAACGCCCTGGTATGGCCGAGAGTGGGGTGGGTTCTCCCTTCCTCTCGAAATACTCTCACACGGCCGCGCGTATACAGCCTCTGCCAGGGAAGTCCTACTCACTGCCTTCTCGTGGCGGGGGTGTTGTTTACGAAAATGAGAGGACGAAAAGCGAATGTCCGGCGCTTTAACCGGATTCCAAACCAATGGTGCACATGGGCACCAGTATCCTGCGGGAACAAATGGTGTATGAACCAATTTTCGGTCACCGGCTACCATGGGACTACATCTCCTTACGATGCTCCACTGCCTTGTGGGTTAGACCTTTAGGTCAAAGGCTCGGGGTGTGGCCCCCTAAGAGAACCACCTGCTTCGGTCTGGGCACCCGGGCAGTAACGCAGCCCACACGCAATTAATGAACTGAAATTGTGTGGCGCATATATGTTTGGCGCACTCCTGTACCAATATATATGTGTTCAAATAAATAAATAATCTAAACATGGAGAATTGGCCTTGGTCAAACAAACATATATTAGTACACATACATAGCATTTCAGTAACGACTAGATGTTATATGTAGAGTATGAATGCTATTATATAAGATATGAGGGGATGTTGTCATATCCTAGTGATCATGATGACGGTGAGACTTTTGAACATGAGATACTTCATGCGATCAAAAGAAAAATATTTATTTGGTTAGTGCATTTAACAACTATCTTAAGTGGATTTGTATTTCATTGTTCTAAATATTCAACTACCAACTACATAATCTTGAGTCCGAACCTATCAAATCTATTTGAGTTGGTTTGGGTGAGTTATATCATTAGTTCCAGTATGAGGGATGTTGGTTACATTCAACTCGACTGATAAAATGATAGTTCAAATTAATTTATCCACAACTTTTAAAAATTGTAGTTAGATTGAGGTGTTAATGGAAAAGAAAATTCAGATAAAGTTAAATAATTGCATACATTTCAAGATTTTCTATTGTGTTTAGTGTAACACATAGAATAGTAGATAAAAAAAGGTAATGAAATAACATGTGGACTATAACTACTATCTATTTCAACCAATAAGTAGCAAATACAGTGGCGAATGCGGGGGAAGAGAATATAAAACTTCCTTGTTAGAGTTCACATGATTTTACATACACAATTTAATGGATGATTACTGATTATAGGCAAACAACGTATCCTAAAATCGATAATGTAACCTAACTTTCATTATATCTACTTTTTTGCTCTACTTATTGAATTTCTTTATTTTGATATCAATGGTTGGTACTAATGGTTGAAGACTCTGAGTGACATGGCTCAGAATCGATCACAATGGCGTAGGTGTATACACTTTCTGTCTTTCCTTAAACTATGATATTAAAAACGCTTAATATCTTTCTTTCCACAAACTAATTCTTTCTTCCTTATATGCAATCTTTCTTTTATATATTACCATCATTGAATTCACTGTTTTATGATTCCGGTGTTCATCTTGTTGTGCTAATGACATATGGCAACTTCGACCGATACATATATGTGCCTTATTTATTTATTTATTTATTTAAACACATAGACATTGGTACAAGGAGGCACCAAATACATATGCGCCACACAAATCCCATTCGATATGTGTGAGGGCTATGATACTGCCCGGGTGCCCAAACCGAAGCAGGCGGTTTTCTTAGGGGGCCGCTGCCCGAGCCTTCAACCTGAAGGTCTGATCCACAAGGCAGTGGAGCATCGTAAGGAGATGCAGTCCCGTGGAAGCCGGTGACCAACAATTGGTTCATACACCATTTGTTCCTTCAGGATACTGGAGCACATGTGCACCATTGGTTTGGAATCCGGTTAAAGCGCCGGACATTCGCTTTTCGTCCTCTCATTTTCGTAAGCAACACCCCCGCCACGAGAAGGCAGTGAGTAGGACTTCCCTGGCAGAGGCTATATACGCGTGGCCGTGTGAGAGCATTTCGAGAGGGAGAGCGGACTCTCCCCACTCTCGGCTGTACCAGGGCATTTGGGTGAAGATTATTTGAGCTATAAAAAATGGGATTACAGTAATAATAATAAAACAATCCGTGTTAATAGCCGTTGGTTAATAACTTGACGTTTAGGTAGTAAGTTTTTTGTGTTTAGAAATATTAAAGTAATGAATATTGTAGGAATGTTAATATTGGTATTAGTTTTGGTTTAAATTATGAGACCAATTAACAATTATGCCGGTAACCCGTTCATATGTGATTTCTAATTGCATCTGTATTAGTAGGCTAACTGAAAGAACAAAAGTATTACCATGGAAAAGAATTCCAACTAGTGTTCCAGTTAGTTTGATACGGTTTATTTAGTTACGTGGAGATTTTCTCAACCTCGTTTTTACTTGACCGTGATAGAATTTATTAATACTACTAATACACATGAATGGTTACTAAAACAAAATTTCAATACATGAGTGATAATTATATGAGTTTTGGACAGATAGCTAAGAACAAATCGTTAAACATGAGTGTATTCGTAAGAGACATGCTCTAGACTCAATGTTCTGAGTTGCCATAGATTATTTATACATATTTATACCTGACGGCTGATGATGCATACAAGTTAGTTGCAAGTATGCAGTTTATCATAAGGCGGAATACGATTTAATTGAGATATAGTGATTATAAGTTATTGAAATCAGTTAGGCCTATGTGTCATATTACTAGGTGATGTGGTGCTGCAGGATGTATTCGGCTAAATAAGCTTTTACAAAATGATTAACAGTGAGAGATGCTCATGTGATTATCAGGAAGAACACAAGTTGTAACCAAGGGTAGTACACTCCCAACTCACATCTATGGTAATAGCTTGAACCTTAGTCAGTGTTGGGGTAAATTCGACATTGATGTTTTCAGTTTGCAGAAGATTTGCTCGACTGCTTATATTGATTATTTGCATGCATTATTGTGTCGCTAAACCTCCAATTAGACTGACAAGGTTTTGAGATATTTACTGAATGAGCAACTGATAGAGAAACATACTGTAATCATCTGTAGTGAATGAGGATTAAAGAAAAACAACACTAGTGATAATTGTAAATCAATTTGCTGACCGATTTTGTTCATAGTTTCATTAATTTTATCAATCATATTACGTGATTGTCAAGTCATGACAATGCTTTATGACGATATCCTGAAACTATTATGTTTAACTAGTTATAGTGTTGATTGAGGATTAGCCAGTGGAAAAATGGGTATTTTTGCTTTAGGTGATTCAAAATTATCAGAAATTTGTAATGTTACAGAATCCGAGACGCCTAATTATATTATAATTTTCAATTCAGAAATATTCGTTTAGTGGTAATATTAGTAGGCTACAGAGTTTTGATTTTAAACGTTTGTTTAGTCAACAGCTACCTGGGGATTTAGTTATTTGACTAGTGCCGTTGATAGTACCTAAATTTGTAATCTAATTATCTAAACTATGTCTGCATTTTAGGCTGCTACTATGATAAACCAATCCATAAACCCAAATACGATTAGCAACAACGACTATGATGGGTTCACTGATAAATATTAAAGACGATTCAGATGATTTCTAAATTTAGAAGACATGAAGATGTAGTGCAACGCGTGTATGGGTCAGGTTAACATGCAGGTTCTTGACGTATATGACAATTTAAAAATAATGAACATGATCAGGAAAAGTAATTTTAAAGTCAAGACTGCTTATGAAACATCAGGCAGGAATGTAACGCGTTATAAACTTTCCATGAGAAATTCCTGCATTTAGCCTAAAGACACTTACAAATATATGGCACAAGCAACTGGAAAACATATACATGTTAAGTACAAAAAAATCGTCCAGTAAAATAGTTAAACTCGCCTGGATCCTATGTTGTAGCTGACTGACTGATTGAGTCTATAAGATCGGAAAGTGAAGTATCAAATTTTAAAAGATACTTTTATTTAATTCAGAGATAATCTATTGAGAATTATTTATTGTCAATTAATTTTAATACTATGAGACATATCTTATGCAATGATGAGAAAAGTTAAACATTTTGTTATAATATAGCTTTATGTATTCATATGATACATCGTTTGTTTTACATGTATCCACTCTTACAGTCTATCTAACTGACCATACAATAATGTGATTAAGATACATTAGCAACTTAATAATATCTATTCAAGAAAAAAGAATTATATTAAGTGTTAAAAATGTGATCATATAAAAATAAGCATAATATTGAACATACTCATGTTTGAGATCCAATAACTTTTTCAACTCTACATCTGAATAGCTATCATCATACAAAGAACTGAACTTAGATGAATTCTTTGAATGAAAGTAGGTTTGATTTGTCGGAAAGTTGTCAACTATTTTTGATTTAGGATGTAAACATATTGCAGAATTCATACAATTGCTATGAGTATTTTGAATTACTTCTGAACAAGGAGTAATGTATTTTTCCAGTAGTTGATCGATACGATCAATTGCTTTAACTAATAAAGACTCTAAATGCAAATGGTTCTCATGAACATTAAGTGGATTATTTTTTAATATACTATTATTGTTGTTGTCATTTACTTGACTGTTGTTCATAGGTTCAATAATATTTAAACTTTTTGATGTGACCAATTGAACTAAACCAGCCAATGCTTCAGCTTCCGAATGTGCACGAGAATAAACAGATCTGTAAAACAGAGAGACAAAAAAGCCTATTATGTAATGAGATCATACCGATTCGAATTAAGAATAAGTATGACCAAGACATACCACTAAACCGTAATTTTAATAGGGTCGAATTGTTCGAAGACAGAATGCCATAGAACTTTAGATCAACAATGTGTACAATATGATACCAAGCGGCAGTTATATAGTTACATTTCCTATAGATTTTGTCAACATAACAACCCATTATTCACTATTTTCTGGTTTTTATGAAATCGATTTCCTCATAAAAATCTTCAATTTACTAACTGAAAGCAAACAATTGACTCAACTTCGTTATGTCATTATAATCCGTTAGCTAGCAGGCAAAATTTGAAGGGGAAGTAGTGTTCAAATAAGGAAATATAAGACAATTAGACGTCTTATTACTATTGAGTAGTTAACAATAACAATTATACAACACTGATCAGACAACGTGAGTCTATATATATATACTCATTAGTTATTGATTTTATTATACCCATAACTAGTCGATCTGTCTGGATACACATTTAATTCGATCGGTCTGTTGGTAATGTCTGAGGATTATAAATAACATATAGTAGTGTGATAAGCGTAGTCATAATCATAGTTTCAGCTAATCTTAAATTCTGAGTACTGAATGAGTTCCTTGAAGGTAAAGCAAATAATATGATGAGATAGCATGGATGCAGTTAATACAAAATGAACAATTTTAGACTTGTAAAAATGATAATGGTTAAAGTTATTCATGAAAAAACAAACTGATTGATACATCTTTTAACTCCCTATTAATTTATGCCTTTGAAATGTTGTCATACTGTTTTCTGTGAATAATTTTTCTTTGGTACTAATATACTATCAGACTTATAGTTTGTACAAAACTCCGAACCACTTTCTGTCAATAAACAGTAAAACTAAGTCATCACAGTTGAGAAAATGTTGTTAACATTTACTACCCATTCTATAATTATATTATAATGAAAATGATGATCATTTACTCACCTTAAATAATTTAGTCGTTTTTCAAGTATACAAGCGAAGTCATTAATTTCAGTTAAAATATCCGAAGTAGTTGGACAATGACCAGATATTTCATTTGAAACTTTTTCTGTATCAGATATTAAACTAGTTGATAAAAGTGAAGTTAATTCATCTAATGATCCATCATGTAATTCATTTTTATTTATTTTCTTATTATATTTAATATTCTCTTCATTCCAAGCTAATATACTACTTGTATGAATAGAATCATAACTATTATTGATTTTCTCATTAGATACAAGTTTGTTTAAAGATTTCTGAGAAGGATAGGAATTATTATGCTCTATAGGATAATTATGAGTTGTATTACGTGAATCTGGAAAAGTATGTAATTCAAGAAGACTTGAAGGAGGTGATGTATTAGATTGAAAAGGAACTGTTTGTGTAACTGTTAAACTACGACCGCGACCACTACTTGAACTATCATGTTTATCACTAATTGACTTATGAATTAATTCAACAGAGGATGAAACACTTCTGTTATTGATATTATTTGAGGATGTAGAAAGATGCACTTTATGTTCATGTAATGACGACTGATCATCCAACACAGTAGATTCAGCAGAAATCTGATTAAGAGACAGAACAAAAAAACTATTAGACAAAAGAAACACACCTGTATGTCTAAATAAGAAACTCTAGAGAAGATGGACACAAAAATATAGGGGATTGCAGATGAGATAATCTGTTACTCATCTTTTATTGTCCTGAGATATTTAGTTGAGCATTTCATGTTCATATTTATAAGTTTATTGGTAAGGGCTTTTTTCTTTTATACATCTAAGCTTTATTTAACTTACAACTTCAGTCAATCTACCTTTTTTATAGCTGAAATCATGTACTCTATAATAATAATTTTCTATTTGGAAAACATATTTATACATGTAGTAACTGTGTAAATGATTCCTACACGTTTCTTTTCATAATCATTATCTTGTCATTCTACTTTATGCTAGTTTACATCCTGTTAACATGATAGGATTACAAACATTCCTTTTTCAAAAACATGAGATTATTATTTTCAGTTCGTAAGCAACAGAAGACAATTCTTAAGGTTTATGAATCCACAGAATTAAGCTACGATTGACGCTCTTTCCCCACTGAAATTTATAAGGATAAAGAGTAGTATATAAATCTCAGTTGTTACATACGTTTTCCAAGATCTATTCTCGTTCAAGATCGGGATCCGTGAGAAAATTATTAGTTTAAGCACTTCAAAAATGCCCTTATTTTTTCATATCCAGTAAATTGAGAAGTCGAAATCCTGTCGATGATAAGGGGATAGGGCAACGAATGGTTTGAAATATTGATAGTTTATTAAGCCAACTGTACTGTTGAGTACAATGTATCACACTTTGATAAGCCACAGTTGTTAAAAACATTCGAATAGGGCTTGCCAATCCAAGTTCACTAGATTAGTAGTTTGTACACATGTGCGGTACTATGCCTACTAGCCACCACTAATTGCTCAGAGGTTAAAGATGATACCGCAAAAATGTCAGTCTACGTCAATGGATACTTTCTGATCCCATTATCTTCATCACAGAAAGACAGCGAACAAATTTAGTCGATTTTAAATAGAATTGTTTAAGATAATTCTATTAAAAGCATTCTACTGTCACAAGATTAATTCAAAAGCAAATTACTTGAAGTGAAATTAAGACCAGATTCATTGTTTGGTTTGGTGCTCAGTAGGGCAGAACACTACACTAATTAAACATCAAATATTACGTCATATTTTGTTGTAATTCATAACTCAACCCCAGATACTTGGAAGTTTGTTCAGGTTGGATATTTCAAGATAGTTTGAGGTGTACGAAAGTTTAACTTAGATAAAGCAGAAAACTTTGGCAACAATCACGCTACTGAGCACTACCTCTTGTCTGAATTGTCAGAGACTGAATAGTATAACTTCGTTATAACCATCTAATAAGAGCCATTTAATTTAAAAGTTCAATGTTTTAACGATAAACAAGACAATAAAAAATAGTGCAACTTACAAAATTTCTACTTCCAAAATATTCCTTATTAGGTGAACGTGTTAAATGAGAGCCAGAATTTTTTATTTTCTTAAATTCATCAACTGGAGAACTAGGCATAAATTGTTGCATATTCAAAGAATTCTCTAAACTAGGTAGAATATCTGCATCGGATAAATTAGAACTATGACATAAAACAAAACAAAACAAAGGAAATTGTTGTAAAACACACGGAATAAGAAATAAGATTCAAATAAATAAATCAGCTATATATTCCATTAATATCAGAAGGGTTTTTGTGGTAATTTCAGTGGTTGAGATCACGAGTCAATTGAAGCTAGATCGCCATGGAAAACATGGAAGCACTGAACCGTTTCGTCCTATTGTGGGACTCCTCCAGAAGTGCGCATGATGAATATAACGCATAATAACATTCTTAATTACAAGAAAATCATAATAGATTATAATATTGAGAAAAGTCATACTAATCATCTCATTGTGTAATTAACCTGGATACCAAAATTCTTTTACAGCTGATATATGCAATATGCAACATAAACTTTTTTTGTTGCTGGGGTAGAAAATCTAATAAATAAAAAATTAACCAATCGAAATTTAGAATACAATAACCAATGAAAATTGATCTACGTAGAACATGATCATATCATAAAGATGATGGGAATTTTTTTTTCTTTCAATCTCCATTGATTGTATTTCTATTGAAAATAAATGAGTTTCTTTGATCGAAACATGATAGGATGTAATCGATTTTTCTCTATAGTTCAGAATTAGAAATAAAACTCAATTGAATAGATAGTAGGTTCCAAAAAAAGGTTTCAGTATAAATTCGATCCATAAACATAAATAAATGTACTAGAACACTATAAACAATTCTACTGAACAATCTATTCTACAAGCCATTCTAATACAATTAACTAAATTAATTTAGAATATATATAGAACGATAGTAAACGAAAAGATATTGAAGTGTTTGCTAACTATTAACTAGTGGAGATATTTAATCCAATAATATATTTAGGTACAAGATCTTGGGGTTTTTCAGCAACCATGATATTTTAGTTAATTTATTCGAACACATAAATATTGGTATAAAGGGGTACTGAATACATATGCGCCACATAAGTCACTTGATTTGTGTGAGGGCTGGGATACTGTCCGGGTGCCCAGAATGAAGATGGTGGTTTTCTTAGGGGGCGATAACCAAAGCCTTATACCTAAGGGTATGGTCCACAAGGCAAAGGAGTAACGTCAGAAGATGCAATTCTGTGGTAGCCGGTGGCCAACAACAGGTTCATACACCATTTGTTACTTCAGGATATTGGAGCTCATGTGCACCATTGGTTTGGAATCAGGGTTTTCCAACTCCGTTCGGTGGACTCTCCGTGTCCACCAACCCGGTTAAAGCGCCGGACATTCACTTTTCATCCATTTATGAAAATATTTTGTGGCAAAGATATATTGTAGATTGATTCATGTTGAAAAATCTGGACAAATAAATTCCAACACAGCAGCCTAACGACAGCATTTCGAGTCTCGTTATCTAATATATATATATATTATGAAACAAAAAATCTGCATTAATTTAGTAATAACTCCTTATAGGGACATAAATCATTCAGGATACTGCGACATCATGGATCGACTTTAGTTAGATGACTAGTGAAAACCAAAGCGCGCTGGACATCTGTTTTGTTCTAATATTGGACTGCTCAGCAGTGCACATCCACAGCCACACTAGAGATAGAACCAAGAGCCTTCAGGTTTCGTGGCTAGCGCCTTACCCTCAGACAAAGGAGTTGGACATAAGGCTCGAAAGTTCTGGCTTCGATTACTAACGTGATCATGTATATGGACTTCAGAAAAGTTCTATACTAGAATGAAGCAGGTTTCCAGTGCTTCCTGGTTTACAGTGGTTGTCTAAATTAGGTTAGTCTAGGAGGAGAAACTACAAAACTCAACAATCTTCATAGACTTTTATAGAAAAATAATAAACCAGCATACTTTTTAGACTTGGATATAATATAATATATAATATAAAAGAGCGCAACATCGGTCGATAACATGATGACAGAACAGATGACAAGAACCACCTAACACATTAGGTTGGTACATTTATTAAATGCCCGATGTTCCAGGAAAGGAATATTACAGTTATGAGCAAACTGATTTACGCCACGACAAAAAAACGCAATTGTAGTCGATAAAATGTTTGAATTTCAGGTAATGGATCACTGATTTCAATTCGGTCCTTATCCAAATTTAGTTTGGATAAACGGGTAATATTATTTTTACCTATGAATGAAGTTTAAAACTTATTGTACCTGAAATTAATGAACGTAATTTGGGGTATTAAATATTAAAGAGTAGACAATCTGTTTGACAATTAACATTGTCGTTTACTTAAACGTTGCATCACAGTTAATATCCGATTTTAAAATTAAAATTAAACAAAACAAAATATAATGGAAATATCGGGAATAATAATCTATTCAAGACATAGAGGCAGATTTGTGTTCAAAGCAAAAAAGATCAATTAAATGTGAGTAGAACACAGAAATAAAATACTGAAACTGATTATAGTGAACTTGGAATGCATCTCAGTGTAGATCGTGGCATAATTGTTAAAGTTGAAGGAAGCTATTTATAGTACCTTCACTTAAGTGACATTGTTGTGAGACTTCAATGAAAACAATTTGTTATTCTCTAGTTCAGCTAGAAAATCTTGGTTCAAAGAGGTACCAAGTAATGAAGCATACAAGAACTAAGAAAACAAGCCATCCAGTTAGATAAGTTTTAAAATCCAGCACAGAATGTTAAACTAATCTGAATGTTCTTGATCCCACTTGGTATTACATCACTATCGAATTTCGCGTTTCTAGAGAAATCATTCTAGGCTTGTTTATTTGTAATGATACTTACGACAAGGTATAAAATCAAATAAGGTTAGCTTACTGGACGATTTCTAGATATCCATTCATTGCATTTGGTGTTGCTGGAGGTGAAGTGTCTGTATGTACCTCTAAGAAATTGGAAAGACACGAAGCAACAGGATAACTTGGTTTCACGCTATCCGGTTGGACTGCAAATAAATTTGATTTTTGTAGTAATGAATTGACATTATCAACGGGTGGATAAGGGTTTCTATTTTGGAAAGATGCTGGAGTCCGCTTCACTGGTGTACTTTGATCAAGAGACCGATCAGATTGGTGAAAGGATGTAGAAAACATGGGTGCACAAGTCACACTATGACGTGGTAATTCAGGAGAAGTAGACAACTGGCATTCTAAAAGGTTTATTTCAATTAGAGTAAACAAATAAATAAACGAAATGTACGGTAAAATATTGACATTGTTTAGTTAAGATTTTCTTATGTACCGAAGTTAAATAGAATTAAAAATATAATTCAATAAACACGTAAATAGAAGGGTGAAATACTAATCGATATACCGTATCAGTGATGAAGCTGTTAAACCCTTAAAAGTTAGGCGAGTTTTAATCTCATCACTTATTGACTAAAAGATATGATCTGAAAGGTAGTGTTCGGAAATCAAATGAAATTTTATGGTATCTGGCGAAGTACGATATTTGCTTACTTCGGATCTTAAAGACTACATAATTAGGAATCAGGGTTTTAAAACACTCTTAAGTTGATTGTTTGTACCCATCACCCTAGTATCCGACTTTCCGTTTCTGTAAAAACACCATGACATAAATATAGTGGGCAAAACAAACCCAAGATTACATACGCCAGTACGTATGGAGGCATTCTGACTGTTAAAGGTTGGATATATGTATAGGGAAGAGTAACCTCCCTCTATCCTGGTTAAACTTGATCTTTTCAACTTGAGGACTCTGATAATTTCTGTTCATGAAGAATTGCAACACTGTAAATAATTTTGGGATCAGGTAATATTTTAGGTGTAATGGTAGTAAAGTTGATTTTAAGATCATGTAACGCCGGCTCAAACGACTTGAACATGTTTCATGAATACAAATCCAACAGCTTTCCCAATACTCATTATTTCCCGATGATAGGGTAGAAAAGAATTGAGGTGATCAATTTATGTCAATGTGTTATGGAATGAAAGATAGTTGTTCGTGACTACTGATCAAATGGGTGGATTCCTATAGATCACGCAACTGATTGGCATAGGAAGTTATCAAACATGGTTCAGAAAAGAATCTAGTAGAGATCCTGGTGTGCTTTATTTATAAAAGTTAGAGGAACCTAGTTAGCATAAGTAAAATTTTTTAGTCGTACATTTTATAAGTTTATTAATTTATTGCTGGTATGACTTCCTTTATTTCTATTTTATTTCCCATAGTATCATTTTTTTAGTGTGGGGTTCTTCTATGACTTCTAATTGTACAAAAAGCCTCATACTACAATTAAAGAACCGTTTTGGTGACGGTCTTCTGAATATTTTCTTTGAACTTTTGCTCATTATACATTTTGGCATTCAGTAATAAATGGACAATTAGTTATATTCAAACTGGATGATTTCATCTCATTCACTTGTCATATACATATTCATTTTTAAATTTCACAGTCAAATAACAGTTAAATATTAGTAAATGCGGTCGAACAACTACCGACACAGTCATGTGAACACACACATATCTAGTGTATGAACCGGTTTCTGTGAACATTTTTATATTTGGTTAAGACCGAGATAATCAATACAATTAAGAACTTTTTTCCTAGTCTCTCCAACTGTTACACAAACATAGTAGTAGTAGTTGTTGTTGTTGTAGACTAGGTAAAGTGATTAAGGTCAAGAAAAATCGATGAATAGAAGTGGACAAAACCTCACCACCTCATTTCAATCAATTCTCGAATGAAAACTAACAACTATAGATTACCGATTAGTTTTTTTTTTTGTTACTAAATAAACCATATGATGTGTTAGATACACTATACATAATGTAATGTAAGTAAAATGTTAATTTAACTGTTATTTAAAATAAAAAAGAATAAATGTACAACTATGACAACGAATTCATGTGATGTAACAAGTACAACGAGAAGCACGACAATTGATAATACCACCAATTAATAACAAATTAGAAGAAATGTGTTTGTTAGAAGAACAAGAAGTTGTTACTATTTATGACAATATATGTATGCTGGTTCTGGTTCTTGATTGGTCTCATCTTAAGAACAATATGTGTAACAAAGTTGATTACATGTAGAAGTGATAGACTCATAGAAGAGTTTCATGTTCTTCTTCTTCTTCTGTTATCACTGTTTTCTTTTGAAAACAATCTAGTTTGATCTCTTGTATTTCACTTAATCGTTATTTCTGTTTCTATAACTGTTTTATTTATTACTTATAAAGATTTCATCAAATCAAATTTAATAGTTGAGATCATGAGTCAGTTGAAGCGAGATCACTATGGAAAACCTGTAAGCACTGGACGACCGTTTCGTTCTATTGTGAGACTTTTCAGCAGTGCTTATCCATGGTCCTTTCTCGCGGGATTCGAAGCCAGGGTTTATCGGCTCAGTGGTTTAGAGGTTAAGCGTTTTCGCGCTGAGATGTCCCACAATTAAGACTTTACATTCAAATTATTTGAAAGTCAGGCATATCGTTTTATTGAAACCATTATTATCAACGTGTCAAAACTTAAAATTTATCCACAAAATCAAACTCCAGTGAGACTAAAAATTTCTACACAAAGTGATCATATTAATTTATTAGTCTGCATAAACAATATGAGACCACCCTATATCGGTATGAAAATGAAAAACCCGGTAAGGAACAAGATGATAAGGCAAGAATGTGTTGTATCCGAAGTAAATTAAATGAATGGTAACTTCTGAGAATTATTTATAGACTGTTATTATGCATATTCATATTGTATAACTATTAGGAACCAGATTATATATGTGTATGCTACTTATGCTGACAGATAAAAGTAGTATGCATCACCAGTCGGAAGTGAAATGCCTGGCAGCAGAAGATTGAAATGAAGAGAATAAGAAGGAGATAAGAGAGCGGTCGAAATTGTTATTAGTATTGTAGTTGAAGGTTTGGAATGTATGGAATGAATTCAGAAAACGAGCCCCGTCAGCCTTACTGTATCGGTTATGGTAAACAAACTCCTCCCCTTGAAATACAAATCCCCATGAGATACAATTGATTTAACAGCTTTGAAATTGGAGGATCTTACATTATGGAGTATAGTGATTGATCAATTGGTGATCGATACCGATGGGATGTACGAGTTCTCCTTGCAAATAAGATCATGAAGTGTCTCAAAGCTTTGTTTGTTAGACAGTACATCACCTGTGGTAACTATTACGGTGCAAGATTACTCAAAGTATGTTAATAAAAGATATTATCTTGTGATTTCTCAGCATCATCATTTTGGTGAATAAAAATTAATAGCAGTATTCTGCTCAATTTCAAATAGTTTTAGCTTTTTCGAAATTTAGAAGGATATAAGTAAGATTTGAATTGAAAGAATAGATAAACCACCAGAATGTTTTCCGTTTGTACTCCAGCCAACAGTTTTATCCATAAAGCTTATGTCTTTATAAATGTATTTAAGTCTAACTATATATCTCTGAGCTGATTGCGACAATCCTTATCAACGGAGTATAGATTATCAATAATGCACATTAGTGACCAAGTAATAGGTGTTTTATGATACTAACACTACGGTCAGACCAAAGTAGATGAAGCGTTTCAACTTAAGAACAAATTGTTTAGGATCGAATAACTACATAACTCAAAAACAGCTTCATGTACATTAAAGGGTTGTTGGAGCATGTAAGAGATAGATAAAAAAACTGCAGATTGTGGCTGAGTAACTGAAGTACACAAGTTTAAATCCGCAGGCGGGAGTCTAGAACACCCACTTATTTTTATTTGGGCAGTCAGGTAAAATTAACTCTCAAATAAAGGTTCCCAAAGCTAAGTACATCGGTCCATTTTCCTCGATGAGGGTGACTGGCACTACTTTGTTGTTCGCACCTTGAAAGAATAATTTTTTGAGACCTGGGAGAGTGATTTCAGTGTATGAGGCATAGCGATGGGACTATAAATGTCCCAGGTTGGCATACGCCGTTATGGCTTTCACCATACATGGAGTAATCTCATAGCTCACACAACCACTAAGATACATAAACGTTTCGGCTACTTCTAATGGCTCACCACTAAGAATGAGAACGCTCTTGTCAGTCTTGTACAAGTACTTAGCATTTAGAAGGTGAAAAATACATATAATACTCATGGACACTGATTTTCAACTGAATAAGTACATATTGCATAGCTTAAGTATCATCACACAGTAAGGTAATATTATCCACATCCGCAAAGTTGAAAAGTCTTTCCCAGTGTAACAGATCCACACCGCCACTACCTGATCCTATCAAAGCTATTTTCAAAATTTCATCGATTACAAAGTTGAGTAGAGGTTCTTTTTAGACTCCCTCCTCATTAGATGAACCTGTCTTTACCGTTCATGGAGTACAGGACAGTCAGATCGATGTTATTGTATGAGCAGATCAGTTGAAATGTTCCTCGAATAACTCTATTATTCGTCTACGATGTTGCTGATTGGCGCCCTATCAGCTTCACAGTTTGTTTCACATACCAAACTTCTTTTGCGAGTGGCTCGAATCAGTTGAAAGAGCCTAAGGGAGTTACCGGGTGTAGCTGATGTGTCTATCTTGCTAGCACGCCCTGATCGCTAGACTTCCTGGTCCTTACACAAGCTCTTCATAATATCTTTACTTAAGAATAACTCGTAGTTACCCGTGGCAGACCATCATACCTCAAGAGTTGGAAGGATTACAGACTTCCATTGCTTATTAGCCGGACGTCTCGAAAAGCTTTAAGAGACAAAACCTTCCATTTTTACAGCATTAGCCGAACTTATCCAGTACTCATCTACATATGTTAATGTACTGACTACATGACATCAACTAAATGAAGTTTGATATTTGATTGTAATAGAAACTACAGCCTAATTAGTCATTTTATTCAGTCTGGGAAGAGACGTCCGCTGGCTACTAAAATGTAAGATTAGCTTGGCACAAAGCAAATCACGTTCACAGTTCGGATAAATACTCTGAATGGAACGGCAGTATCATTCCCAAAAACGTCAGCGGGGTGTTCATTCAAAGGGGCGCATATTTCTAAAGGTGAGCATTGAAAGGGTGAATAACATTTTTAATGGTGTGAAATATATTCGATCTACCTTCTGCAGTGAAAGACTTCTCTGAAGCGAACATAATTTGGACATTAACACCTAAACATGTTAAACTGTTACGAAAATGTTATATATATATATATATATATATATATATATATATATATATATATATATATATATATATAACGCTTGAATCCAAACTAAAATAAAGTTACCGGCTTTTGATGTATTCAGTCAATTAATATATTGCCGGGATTATTTTGTTGTGGTTATAAACAACTCATTTAGGCTGAGTTGTCAACGTATCGGAAAGTCGGCTTTTGGATTTTAAATATCTGTCGCTAACTTACACCTTTTACTTCTCTGAATCTGTCGAAAAATATATAGTACGCAACTTCAAGGATTAAAATAAGGTTGCGTAGTGGCCGAGGACTTAAAAGACTAATAAGATAAAACCAGGTGTGTAGAAGATAACTATTCTCTTGAGGACTATGAAAAAGGTGAAGAATAAATTATGAACATCATGGTGATAAATTACGAGAAATAAAATGCATCAAGACAAAGTGGTAATAAGCGATTGATTGTGTGAAAACTTAGGTATTAAAGTCGTGGTTTGATGACATCTCGACGTGAAGCCATGCATACATGACTCAGGTTTGAAGTGATGAACGGAAACAAGGCCATAAAGCAACATTAGATGCAGACCTATGGAAACCAGTAACCAACGGATTCCGACACCATTCGTTTGCTCAGACGCCTGGAGCTAATGCATACCACTGGAGTTACAGTCTTCTAACTTCTCTAGGTGAATCCTCCGTATCTACTAACTCAGTCTAAGCGCCAGCTATCCGCGTCCCATCTTCTTGCTTTGCTGTACTACGGCCACGCCGCGAGAAGGCAATGAGTAGGATTACCCTGGCAGAGGTTACAAGCACGTAACCATATGAGCATATCTACAAAGGAAGATGGCTCTCTGAACTCTACTGTACCAAACCATTTAGGATGTGGGTAAGATGGTAGACAGTCAGTCAGTCAGCCAGTAACAACGTAGAACTTCGTACGTACGTACATCAGTTCGAGTTGCCACACCACATTAGCACAGAGATGCAGTTGACGATTCAAATCCCGTAGTGGTAGAGGTTATAAGAGTATAAGTAGTAATCGGGAAGATTAGGGTTTGGAGATGTTATTTAAAGAGTATAATCCAGTGAAATAAATTTGGAAAGAGGAAAAAAGGGACATGAAGAATTCAGAAGATTAGAATTTGGGAGAACACAGAGAGTGGATGCACCTGCGCCATTGCAAACGATTTTGAGCCATGTCATTCAGGGTCTCTAACCATCGGTTGCTATCATCTCGCGGTCCCCAACCAGGTAGTCTACACCTACCAACATGACTCAGTCCACTTGTCAGTGACTTCATGGACTTGTGCCATATTTTGGTTTGGCCGCCCCTAGCTTTCTTCCAACCTACTCCTATACCACTGAACATAGCACGTCGAGGCAGTCGGTCGTTGGGCATACGTAACACGTGTCCCAGCCATCTCAACTGATGAAGTTTCACTACTTCATCAATTGATTTGCCATCCTTACCTAGTACCCGTTTCCTAACAACTGTGTTACTTACTCGATGGTCCCAGGATATACGAGCAATGTTTCGAAGACACCTATGATCAAATACTAGTAACCTACGGATATCCTCTACTCTTACCGGCCATGTTTCACTGCCATAAAGTAGGACGGGACGAACTGCTGCGCCGTAAACACGTCCTTTGTTTGATAGACGGATATCTCGCTTACGCCATAAATGACGCAAGTTGGCAAAAGCTAGTCGAGCCTTCTGTATCCGTGCTGAGATTTCGTCACACACTAAACCACAAGGGCTGATGAGACTTCCAAGATAAGTGAAGCGGTCGACACACTCAACTACTTCACTCACTATCACTAGTTCGGGTGTGGATGTAACCCAATCCTGAAGAAACATTTTGCATTTCGAGGGAGACATAAAAATATAACAAGTTTGTATTGGTGTATATTTAATACGTGGACTAAAACCCTCAGAAAACTATTGCGAATCAGACGAACGCGAAAATGAAGGATGGTTCAGAATCTCTGTTACTATTTGGCCGTGCATTTCCCACAAAATGACAGCAAAAATCACTTTTGGGAAAGTTCAAAAGATTATAAGCAATGTAGGAAACAGAACATAGATAGATTTAACAGGTGAACATTACAACCACTTGAAAAACTACTGATTGGTCCAGTTTACAGGAGTGATTAAACTATTGAGAACCCTGGGGTCACAATATTATTAAAAACTTTTAGAAACATTGCTTAGTTCGAGATCGATCAACTCGACAGGTGAGAAAGATGGTGATAAACATAGTAATAGAATTTTGTTATATGAAAAAGCATGTAACTTACCTAGAAATTCCTTTGTCTTTGAATTTACTTTTGAGTTAGTAATCAAGCGGCCTGAACACTCAGAGGAAGACTCATTCGCTGATATTTGGAGCTCCAAAAGATTCGATTCATGACAGTAGGCAATAAACGCGGTCAGCAGGACAATAAAATCCGATAATGCTCTGGGTTCTCCAACCATAAGGTCTTCTGGTACAATGTGATCCAAGTCCACTCCTATTTCTTCAGACAATTTGAACACAATAGCCTGGAAGTTTTCTACACATTCGGTCTCAGCGCGACCACGACGAGGCACTAATAATCATAAGAAATTTGTTGGCAACTTACAAATGTCGCTACCAAATAAGACAACTGCTAAGTCAAAGACGAAAGCAGGAGTAATTTCATGAATACTCTGAATGTAAGGTTCGACGTTAATTAAGGATAAAGCGTTGTTGGTAAGCAGAGTCAGATCTACTAAATAACATTGGAAGATTATTCAAACAGGTATAAAGCATGCCTGATCCACAGTTACAATGTTTTAACCAATCAAACGTCATTACAGCTTAAAAGTCTGACACAGGACAAGCGCAGCGCCTACTCACAAGGACGGTAATCGAGAAGAAGAAAAACAAAGTTTTATGTAATCTACAAATCGGAATAGTTACGTTGAAACTATAAGATTCTATTATTTTGCCTTCGAAAGAAAAGTAATGGATCGCTTTTTGAGCTCTATCTATGTCAACTAACTTCATCGGTCTCAACCGAAGCAGATAATCTCAATTTTGCTTCATTTTCTGCGTCTAAATGATCTGGGTATAGGCAATCTGTGTTAATCCGAACGTTTTAGATCCTTCAGGAGAACGTTTTTGGCCTGGAGCACAATAACGGATAGGCTTCGATTAAGTATCATTTTCAGAAGTTCATTTGTTTTATAGTAGTTTAGATTTACATTCCGTGTGTCACGTTATGAATGATTCAAACTTCTTTCCTACAATTACTTCAGACCGTGAATGCAAGTTTGAATCATTGCGTTTCCACCCTCTTTGGAATTACGTAATTTTGAACGACCTCTTAGTAATTAGTAACCTCGTTCACTCGGAATTATCAACACAGTGAAAGCCAGAGTTGAATGTAAGTGAGAGCAACTCCTTTACAGTCTGACATTTCGAACTCTAGAGGAGTTTGTAAATCTTTCACCTTATTTGAAGAATGTAGATTCAAACTTCTATGTGAACCGTCGTGCGAAAATAATGTGTCCAGTAAACCTCTCTCCTACCTGACAACTGTCAATCCCAGCTTCAATCCTACCGGTCTCACGAGTTGGTACAAAGTTTGTATGCATCGATACAGCATACAAAGTGTTATATGAATTTCTTTTAAACCCAAAACTGTACCATCGTTAAATATGGAACTAAAAATAACATCGCCGGTGACTGACTAAAAGCCGCTTCCTTAAAATGGATCCATTTGTCCTCCAACTTTAATGAATAAACGAACAACTCATTCCCCAAAATGAAGATGAATTTTCGATTGTCGATAACCATACTGGTCTAAAACAAATCTTTCTAGAAGAATTGTTAGGTTCTCAGAACACTCAAACTGTTACTGTGTGTGGGTTACTTTCACGTCACATGTCTTTTTCTCTGGTTTTCTGTTTTATACATCTCGCTGGTTGCACTATAAATGTTGGGGTCGAAGACAGTAAGACCCAGGCACAAAATTTGAACGTGTCAATACTTTTTCACGTGGCATATAAATATTCCAACTTGTTCTTGTGTAGGATGCATTATACTGAGATTACCACACTATTTTGAAGGTTGGGTACATTTTACCCCGGGTAAATAATTTTGTCGGACACTTAATAGTTAATGCATACCCAAGTGTTTAATAGCTTATCTCACACATACGAAGGAACCTAAATTCATCTCACAGAGACAACAAAACTCTCCAGTTCTGAAAAAAATGGGTTACTTACTTACTTACTTACTTACTTACGCCTGTTACTCCCAATGGAGCATACGCCACCGACCAGCATTCTCCAACCCACTCTGTCCTGGGCCTTCTTTTCTAGTTCCATCCAATTCTTGTTCATTTTTCTCATGTCTATCTCCCTTTCTCGGCGTAATGTGTTCTTTGGTCTTCCTCTTTTCCTTTGACCTTCAGGATTCCATGTGAGGGCTTGTCTTGTGACACAGTTGGGTGCTTTCCTCAATGTGTGTCCTATCCACTTCCAGCGCTTCTTCCTGATTTCTTCCTTAGCTGGGATCTGCTTTGTTTTCTCCCACAGTACGTTGTTGCTAATAGTATCCGGCCAATGGATCTGAAGTATTTTGCGTAGACAATTGTTAATAAACACCTGTATTTTCTGGATGATGGCTTTCGTAGTTCTCCAGGTTTCCGCCACATACAGTAGAACTGTCTTGACATTTGTATTGAAAATCCTGACCTTGGTGTTGGTTGACAGTTGCTTTGAGTCCCAGATGTTCTTCAGTTGTAAATATGCTGTTCTTGCTTTGCCGACCCGTACCTTCACATCTGCATCAGATCCACCCTTGATTATCTATGATGCTGTCCAGATATGTATTAGTTTTTACATTTTCCAAATCTACTCCGTCAATTGTGATTGGATTGGTGCATGTTGTATTGTATTAGAGAACCTCGCTTTTCCCTTTGTGTATGTTGAGATCTACTGTTGATGAAGTTGCTGCTACACTGGCCGTCTTCTCCTGCATCTGTTGTTGCGTTTGGGATAGTAGGGCCAGATCATCTGCGAAGTCTAGATCGTTCGGCTGCATTCTAGATGTCAACTGCATTCCATGTTTCCTCTCAGATGTTGACGTCTTCATGATCCAGTCGATCACCAGGAGAAAGAGAAGAGGTGAGAGTAAGCAACCTTGCCTGACACCGGTCTTTACTTCGAACGACTTTGTCAACTGTCCTCCATGCACAATTTTGCAGTGTAATCCATCATATGAGTTCTGTACGATATTGACTATCTTCTGAGGCACGCCGTAGTGTCGAAGAAGTTTCCATAGTGTTGTTCTGTCCACGCTATCAAATGCCTTTTCGTAGTCAATGAAGTCGATGTAGAGTGATGAATTCCATTCAATTGATTGTTCCACTAAGATCCGTAGAGTTGCGATTTGATCTGTACACGATCTATCCTTACGGAATCCTGCCTGTTGGTCACGAAGTTGGGCGTCTACGCAGTCCTTCATCCTGTTTAACAGTACCCTGTTGAAGACTTTTCCCGGTATTGAGAGAAGAGTGATGCCCCTGTAGTTATCACACTTGCTGAGATCGCCTTTCTTCGGTATTTTGATCAGAAGTCCTTCTTTCCAGTTTGTTGGTACTTGTTCCTCATCCCAAATCTTATTGAAGAGAATGTGGAGTATCCTTGCAGTCGCCGCTACGTCTGCTTTTAGCGCCTCTGCTGGGATGTTGTCCGGTCCTGCTGCTTTGCCACTCTTGATTTGTCTGATGGCCATGCAGATTTCTTCAATTGTTGGTGGGCCAACATTGATTGGGAGGTCCGTGAGTGCTGCTTCGATGTTGGGTGGGTTCAGTGGCGCTGGTCGATTCAAGAGTTCTTTGAAGTGTTCTACCTACCTGTTTTGTTGCTCTTCAATGTTGTTGATTACCTTGCCTTCTTTGCTTTTCACTGGTCGTTCTGGTTTGCGGCGATTTCCAGAGAGATTCTTTGTCTTGTCATACAATTGTCTCGTGTTTCCTTCTCTTGCAGCCTTTTCCGCCGCCGTTGCTATATCTTCCACATATTTACGTTTGTCGGTTCTGATGCTCCTCTTCACTTGTTTGTTAACTTTTGTGTATTCAGCTTGTGCCTTGGCTTTTTCTGCTCTTGTTCGGCTGGTATTGGTTGCTGCCTTCTTGTTCCTTCTTTCTTGAATCTTATCCAGTGTATCAACAGTGATCCATTCTTTGTGATGGTGCTTCATGTGACCCAGGACCTCATGACATGTTGAAGTGATTGCCTCTTTGATCCCTTTCCAGTTGCTCTCCACAGTAGTTCCTTCTCCATTGAGTAGATCATGAAAGGCCTAGAACTTGTTGCTGAGGACTATCTTGAATTTGTTGAGTTTGTTAGTATCCTGAAAAAAGGCCGTATTGAACTTTTGTGATACTGTATGCTCCGTTGTCCAGTGCTTCTTGAGTTTCAATTTCATCTTGGCGACCAGCAAGTGATGATCTGATGTTATATCAGCTCCTCTCTTGGTTCTCACGTCCTCTATAGTCCTCCTGAACGTTTTGTTGATGCAAATATGGTCGATTTGGTTTTGTGTATAGTGATCCGGTGAAGTCCATGTGGTTTTGTGTATGCGTTTATGTGGGAATATGGTGTCTCCTATGACCAGCTTATTGAAGGCACAAAGATTTGCAAATCTCTCACCATTTTCGTTTCTTTCTCCCAGTCCGTGTCGTCTCATGATGTCTTCATATCCAGTGTTATCCGTTCCAACCTTGGCATTGAAATCTCTCATCAGAATGGTCAGGTCCTTTGTTGGGCACTTCTCGACGATTGATGCAGCCTATCGTAGAATTGATCTTTAGCGTCTTCATTGTAGGCGTTGGTAGGCGCATAGCATTGGATGATGTTCATTGAAATACCTTCTTTCTTTGTTTTGAAGGAGGCCTTGATTATCCTTGGTTCATGAGATTCCCATCCTATAAGTGCATTTTGTGCTTGTTTGGACAGCATCAATGCAACTCCTTATGTGTGTGGGGCATTTTCTTCATCATGGCCGGAGTATAACAGGAACTCTCCTGTAGTTAGTCGTTGTTGTTCAACTTGTGTCCAATGTGTTTCACTGATCCCAAGTACCTCTAGGTTGTATCTTCTCATTTCTGCAGTAATTTGGAAGGCTCTCCCGGTGTCCCACATTGTACGAACATTCCATGTACTTAAATAAATGGTTGCTCTGGTTGTCAGAAGGGGCATCGCCCTCGTAACTTCCGGAGGAATTCGGCTTCCATCATGAGGCTTCATAATTCTTCTTGATGAAGACCTTCTGACTCCCAGGACAGAGTTTAAAAGATTTGAATAATTTTTTCTGGTTAGCGTATTTTAGCGAGTTAGTTTTCTACGGGCTGGAGACGCTAACCCCATGCCCAACCCTCCTCCTTTATCCGGGCTTGGGACCGGGAGTAGCCCCCGGAGGGACTCCAGGCGGAGTTGAAAAAAATGGGTAGTTAGACTTAATTCACGACTCAGAATAGGGAAACACGTAAGCTTGATCTCAAATGTTCTGTGGGTATTCCAACAACAGTGAAAAGGTTCTCCCCGCTGCTATTATAAGTGCCGTAATAGTAGGTTTCTCAGTCAACACCCTATACCAGATTTTTTTGGTTGACCGCCCTTAGTGACACCTCTGTTGAATCATATAGCTCAGGCCATTTCAGATAACATACGGAACATAAACTTGTTTCTCCCGTTCGGTTTTGATTACAGAGTATCCTCACTCTTTCTTCCTGAGTAAACTCTCCAAGCAACTGCACTTGCTCATTTGATATAACTGCCTCTAACTCTAGTTATCAAAATAACGATCTCTTGAAGGACAACGAACCTCTCACAGCAGAGGTTAAG